ACACACACACACACACACACACACACACACACACACACACACACACACACACACACACACACGCTCCTGGTTATTAACTGGTCCATTCAGGATGGCAGCCACAGCTTCAGACAACATGAAAATGATAAAACTCAGTTTTACACAGGTTGACTTTAAGAACTTCAGATGTTCTTTAAAGTTCTTTAGAAACTTGGGTTTATTCCTCAGTGAAAACTGTTTTAGGAAAAAAAAGAGAGGCTGTTTGAATGATTAGGTGGTCATAATGTTTTGGCCATTCAGTTTATTTGAAAACTAGATTTGATTGCAGATCAACTTGAAAATAATAATTCAACAAAAAATGTTTTTGGAAATTAAAATACTAGTATTTTCTAAAGGCTTTCATATCACCTGCCGCCCCAAGCTGGCAGGATGTCCTCTGGTCTTCTGGTCCGGTGGTCCTCTGGTCTTCTGGTCCAGGGGTCCTCTGGTCTTCTGGTTCGGGGGTCCTCTGGTCCTAAGGTCCTGTGGTCCAGTGGTCTTCTGGTCCTATAGTCTTCTGGTCTTCTGGTCCAGTGATCCTCTGATCTTCTGGCCCTGAGGTCCCGCGGTCCTCTGGTCCAGTGGTCTTCTGGTCGTATAGTCTTCTGGTTGTCTGGTCCAGTGGTCTTCTGGTCGTATAGTCTTCTGGTCGTCTGGTCCAGTGGTCTTCTGGTCCAGTGGTCCTCTGATCTTTTGGTCCTCTGGTCCAGTGGTCTTCTGGTCCGGTGGTCCTGTGGTCCAGTGGTCTTCTGGTCATATAGTCTTCTGGTCAAATAGTCTTCTGGTCCTCTGGTCCTGCAGTCTTCTGGTCCTCTGGTCCTATAGTCTTCTGGTCCGGTGGTCCTCTGGTCTTCTGGCCCTGAGGTCCCGCGGTCTTCTGGTCCAGTGGTCTTCTGGTCCGGTGGTCTTCTGGTCTTCTGGTTCGGGGGTCCTCTTGTCCTGAGGTCCTGTGATCCAGTGGTCTTCTGGTCCTATAGTCTTCTGGTCGTCTGGTCCAGTGGTCTTCTGGTCCTATAATCTTCTGGTCGTCTGGTCCAGTGGTCTTCTGGTCCAGTGGTCCTCTGATCTTTTGGTCCTCTGGTCCAGTGGTCTTCTGGTCCGGTGGTCCTCTGATCTTTTGGTCCTCTGGTCCAGTGGTCTTCTGGTCTGGTGGTCCTGTGGTCTTCTGGTCCTATAGTCTTCTGGTCCTCTGGTCCTGTAGTCTTCTGGCCCTCTGGACTGTGTTAGTCCAACAGCACAGAGTCAGTTGTGACATGAGGTGGAACAACAAACCTACCTGCTCGGTCTGTTCATTGTGTGAGTGCTGAGTCAGCACTAACTGTTTTCAGCTGTTTATTAAACCCTTCAGCTCATTCAGGACATGATGTCTGGTTTTGGGAACTTGTTGAATTATTTGACTTTTCTAGTAGAAAATTATTGATGATTATTTTAAACTCTTTAAAAACTTTTTTTWAATCTACGTCTTCAAACTTTGTTTTAGCTTTTAGCTCTTGTTTTTCTCATTTTAGCATTTGCTCAGTTAGTCCCTCCCCTGCACCTGAAGTCTGCTGACTAAGTCTTGTTTTCAGACACACCTCTCATGTTCAGTCAGTATTGGTAGTAAAGCTGTGGCATGCAGAGGTTTTGTTCTACTTCTCATCACATGTATCCTGCAGGAACTGTAAAGATGTATATTTGTGGATGATCGAACGGTCTGTTGTTTTCTTTTCTTTCCCCTCAGGTTTGGTTAAACCTTCCTGAGAATCATGGAGTAATCACTGTGGAATCAGAGCGCAGAGCTTCAACAAGTAGGTTTCCTTTTTATTTCAGCTGTGGACATTTAAACCATTTTAGTCCAATGTATGTGTTTTACTTTGTCTTGGTTCAGCTTAAGACTCTTGCAGCCCCCCCCCCACACGCACACACCACATCCATTCTCAGCCAGCAGCTATTTAAAGTGGCTGTGGCTGCTCTGTGTTCCCCCTCCCTGTGCCAAAGCCCCCCCCCCTCCACTGGTTTCCCTTCAGCTGACCTTGGTTATACAAACTAGCACTTGATCCCCCCTCCTTGATTCTTCTTCCTCCTCCTCTTTAATCCAGCTCTTTGCCAGGCTGCTGTCCTCTCTGAGCTCCCACAGAGTGAAGAATTTTGATTACGCTGTGGAAGTGAAGTCAGAGCTATTTATTCCCAGACTCTGGTGGACCTGGAGGACCTGGTTTGGAGAGTAGACCAGGAAGTGGGAGGCAGGATTGTGTCTCCTCTCCTGTCTTTGTGACCAAACAAAGAAAGCAGCTTTCTTAGTCTGGTCATGAAACATGTTTGAGGCGTGTGAGGAGCGATCAGAAGATCACAGATGGATCTTCAGACCACTTCATGTTTCTGTTGATGAAGATGACTTTTTAAAGTTTGGGTTAACTTGAAAAAGGATGAAACCTCTCCACATTTTGTCTTGTTCCAACTACAAACCTTAAAGTGTTTTTGTATTTTCAGTGATAGTTCCTGCAGAGAGCAGAACAGACTCGTGGGTTTTTGGTTTATTTTTATTTGTTTGTATTTTACTGTTGTTTAACCAGACAAATCCCACTGAGGTCACACGTCTCTCTTTAAAGGGAGGCCTGGGGCTGAAGGCAACATGTTGTACATGTTTTTGTGTGGTGGGGGGGTGGCAGGAGTACTTGGAGAAAACCCACACATGCACAAGGAGAACATGCCAACTCCTCACAGAAAGAGCCCAGGTCTGAACCAGGACTTGAACCCAGGACCTTCTTGCTGTGAGGCATCAGTGCTAACCACTGAGCCGTCGTATTTTATAACCTTACCCTGCTTTCAACTTCTCAACAACTTTACTCCAGATCACTGGTCTGCTGCTTGGGCTTCATGATGCTGTTTGATCATTGGTGRGGTGTAACAAACCCCTGTGGCTCACAGAACAGCTGGATTTATTCTGAGATACAGTTACACTCAGGCTTTATTTTTCGGTGATTCTTTACTTAAATGTATAGTTTTAAAATAAAACATTTTACTGTATGTTACTAATATGTCGAGTCTCCCTCAGTTTGAGAGCTGCTGATGTTTAATACATCTTATTGTAATAGTTAGAACAGGGGTCTGTGACAGCAGTTCTGGGACCACATTAGAGCTGGGCAGTATMYKCKAAAWTTT